GAGTTTAACCGCTCCTCCTTCGCGTCAAAAGGAGGCAGTTGGGGTGGTTCGGGCACCTAGTTAGGATGCCACCAGGGCGCCTCCATAGGGAGGTGTTCCAGGCACGTCCAGCTGGGAAGAGACCAAGGGGTAGACCTAGGACCAGGTGGAGGGATTATATCTCTTCACTGGCCTGGGAGCGCCTTGGGATCCCCCAGTCAGATCTGGTTGATGTGGCCAGGGAAAAGAAAGTTTGGGGCTCTCTGCTGGAACTGCTACCCCCGCGACCCGACCACGGATAAGCGGGAGAAGATGGATGGATGGATGGTTGAGTTTAGGAGTGACGATCATAAATGTTGTCAGCAAGCCAAGGAAATATTATCTAATCAGTTTTTCGGTGGATGCAGAATACATGAGTTATACTCATCTGTGGCAGGGCTGTAGAAGCATAGGGAAATTATTTAAAAAGGCACAAGGAGTAAAAGACTACCAAAAAACATTCAGAAACTTGAGATAGCTGTTGGTAGAAAGTTAACATTAATTCAAAGCTAGGCTAATGTTAATTATCTTTTTTAAAACTCTGAAAACTATAAATGGACATCAAATGTTTTTGAGAGCAACTTTGTGTCGGTCCCTCTGCCCTGTACTATTTATACTGGGCTACGCTGTGTAAAATAGGAAGAAAAACATTCTACTTCATGCTGTCAAAATAAGAATATATAACTATAACTGTGACGTATGTGTGTATGTATGTATGTAATGCACACAGAACTCATAACCGTTTTTAAACAAGAATGGACTCGAAAATGTATATAATAATTTAGAAAAAATTATGGCCTTATCCTTTATAAGGCAGAGAGAATAATGACCAAATTGTGAGAACCTACAAGTGTATCTTTCATGCGCTGAGTCTACAACACAAAGTGTAACTCAAAGCGGAAAAGATGGATGACTCCAAAAGACCAACAACTTAATCCCACAACATTTAAAGCAGAACAAAGAGATAAACAATAACTGTGATTCCTCCCAATTTGGATAAGAACAACTCTGAATTCCAACATCAATCCTCTTGCTGCATCGCATACCTGCACAGTATCTGATTAAAGGAGTTTTAGAAGCAAAAATTCACAAAGTTTCCCCTTAGAGTCCAAAGGGACAAAGTCCAAGTTTATTCCTGGCAGCACATATAACTATCCTGGCTAATGGTTAAGTAACCAGAAGTTATGTATAATAATAATAATAATGCATTTTATTTATATAGCGCTTTTCACAACCCAAAGACGCTTTACAGTATGAGGGAGGGTAGACAAACAAGGACAGGCAAACAAGTAAGTATAGTAAAATACAAAATAAATAAAAAGGCAGTCAAGAGGAAGTTGATTGAGAGGGGGGGGGGGGGGGGGGGGCTTATGGGTAGACAGAGTTAAAAAGATGTGTTTTGAGGCGGGACTGAAAGACTGTGAGGGACTCAGAGTCACGAAGATCTTGGGGGTGGGAATTCCAGAGCCTAGGAGCTGCCACTGAGAAGGCTCTGTCCCCAAAGCTGCAGAGTGTGGATGTGGGAATGGATAGGAGTCCGGCTGCGGTGGATCTGAGGACCGTGGGGGTTGATAAGGAGTGAGAAGGTTTGTGAGATAAGGGGGGGCCAGATGGTGGAGTGCTTTGTAGGTGAGGACCAGAACTTTGTATTTGTGGAGGTCTTTGAGGACTGGGGTGATGTGATGCCATGATTTGGTATGCGTGAGGAGACGTGCAGCTGCATTTTGAACCCGTTGGAGTCTGTTGAGGGATGTAGTGCTAATGCCGTAAAGAAGTGAGTTGCAGTAGTCAAGGCGGGAGGAAATGAAGGCATGGATTAGTCGTTCGGCTGCGGGGCGGTTGAGAGAGGGTAGGATTTTTGCAATATTGCGGAGGTGGAAAAATTAGGTTTTGACTGTTTGGCGGATGTGAGGTTCGAGGGAGAGGGTGGGGTCAAAGATTACGCCAAGGTTGCGTGCCTGATTGGAGGGGGAAACAATGGTGCCGTCGATGGTGAGTGTTATGTTAGTGACCTTGCTGAGGGTAGATTTGGAGCCGAATAGGAGGAGTTCTGTTTTGTTGCTGTTCAGTTTGAGGAGGTTATGTTGCATCCAAGTTTTAATAGCTGTCAGACAGGAATCGATGTGGGTAAGGGGTGGGTTATGGAGGGATTTGGTGCTGAGGTAGATCTGAGTGTCATCAGCATAGCAGTGGAAGTCCAAGTTGAAGTGGCGGAGTATCTGACCGAGGGGGAGGATGTAAATGATGAAGAGGAGGGGGCCAAGTACTGATCCTTGAGGAACGCCTTGGGTGACTGAGGCTGTGGCAGAGGAGTGGTTGGGGAGGGAGATGAAGTGGGATCGTTCAGTGAGGTAGGACTGGAGCCATCTGAGTGCAATACCTTCAATACCAATGTCCCTGAGTCGGGTGAGCAGGATGTTGTGGCTCACGGTATCAAAGGCTGCACTCAGGTCGAGGAGGATGAGAATATTGAGGGAACCAGTGTCAGCAGAGGTGAGGAGGTCATTGAGGACTTTGATTAGTGCAGTTTCTGTACTGTGGTGAGGACGAAATCCAGACTGAAGGGGTTCATAAAGCTGGTTAGTTTGGAGATGGCAGTGAATTTGTTTGGCTACAATGCGTTCAAGAGTTTTTGAGAGGAATGGTAGGTTGGAGATGGGGCGGTAATTAGTGAGGGAGGAGGGATCAAGACCAGGTTTTTTGAGGATTGGAGTAACGGCAGCAGTTTTGAAGGCAGAGGGGACGGTTCCATGGGACAGCGAGGAGTTGAAAAGGTTAGCAAGATAGGGGCAGAGGACGGGGAGGCAGGACTTCAGGAGAGGAGTGGGTAGAGGGTCAAGGGAGCAGGTTGTGGGATTTGAGGAACCGATCAGATGGAGTATTTCAAGTGGGGTAACCAGGTTGAACTGGAAGAGGCGGCGCTGGGGAGGAGGAGTCAGGAGGTCAAGGGAGATGGGGGGAGAAATGGTAGCGGTGGAGGTTGGTGGAGATGCTTGTATGTCAGATGGAGCTGAGAAGGAGTGGTATGTATGCCTTTATAAGATCAAGATAAGAGAATTCCTTACTTGCCTTCCAATGCAATAATGTTCGCATTACTCCAAATCGACTTCCAAATGTTGCATAAATAATTATGTTAATGAGAAGCCTTTACTTTAACGGCAACTAAAACCGACCAAGTTTTTCCTTACAAGTATTGGCAGTAATAAATGAAAAACTGAGATGGTTGAAATAAATGTGAACTAAGACACAGAAAAGAGAGAAGGCCCCTGCCAACTATGCAGTAGATAGAACAATATTTACTGGTAGTCACTCATTTATCATTAAGGTTAGCAAACAGACTATCCAAGATTAAAGTCACACAGGAAGTCTGTTAATTCTTGAGAATATAAAGCTATATTCTCACTGAAATAGTGATGCAGCATCGATCCTCAGTCAAATCTAAAAGCAAGGATGTCGAGATAACTGTGTGATTAAAATTAACCCTCATCATTGAACCGCAATTGAATGGAACATTCGGTATTATTATAAAGAAATGCAATCATGAGATGACCTCAGCTGTAAAACAACATTTTTGTTGTTAACTCTAATGTAAAGCCATGTAGAGCCAGCTTCTTTTTTTTTTCTTCACACATGCGATAATTAAATGTTATTTTCACTGGAAATTATATCTTATTACAGTATGTACACACATATGTAATTCAGATCGATCCCTTATAATTCGGCCCAAGCAAAAAAGAAAAAAAAATCAGTCAATGGAATCCATCTGATATTTTTTACAGTCCTGTTTTCAGAGATATTGATATACTCTTTTACATAACTCTCTACCAATCTGTCATTCATCACAGCTAAAAACCTCCCTTGAGCAAAATAGGGGCAAGAAACCAAATCACTGCTATACCTTTATGTTATATGAAGAAAAAAATAGTTCTAAATGCCTGTACACACATGGATGCAAATGTAACTTGTACCACGTTCAGAATAAATTAAATGTGGTTCCTGTAGGTAGCAGCTCTGAGCTTTTCCAATCAGTATCCCTGCCGCCAGTGAGGCTGGGGACCATTAGCACCAGCAAGCCAACTGAAGTGACTCTGATGTGAAATGACAGGGGCTTTCAAAGAAGCCGTCCTACCGTTTAAATCATTGTCATTCACACACATGCCTACCCTCTATTGCAGCTACCCTCACTAGGCAACCGGGTGCTTTCACATTGTTGTTTTACTTTCACAAAATGTCTTCATTCATTAATTTCAAAATCATAGAGCCCATCACTTCATATAAATATTTTTTTAAAGGTTGTCATCATCCTATATAGCCAATTACTGTTTGAGTTATAAAGTAATATAATTTAAACTCATCCTATGCATTATATTGATAAACTACGTATTTAATATGAAGTGACAACTGACATTAAATAATCAATACATCAATAAAAGTGCATTAAGTATCCATTAACATGCAAAAAAAAATCCATAATTGTCGAAATGTTACCTTGATAAGAAATGGTATAGTGAAGAATATGAGGGGTTTGAAAAAAAAAGCATTGTCGTTATTCTAATGGGCGTTGCCTCATGCCTAATCTCCATATCCCTTTGTATAGGACGGTGCACAATATGGTTAAAATGTGATGGTACATGGTACAGCTTTAAGATATGAAGCCTAGGCTAGAATTGAAGTTTCACACATGTTGCAGAAGATTATTTTGACATTGCAAAGCAGGAGTGAACACTTATTGAGCTTTCTAGGAACTGACTTATACTGATAAATAACTCTTGCTTTTACAAAATATTATTCAAAAGCCATAATCACCTACAGACTGCCACACATAGACCAGCCACCTTAATAGTTATCACTATAGCAGACTAATAATTGCATGCCAAGTGAACACAACAGGCGAGTGGGAAGGACGCCTTCCTTCCACTTTCACATCAAACTTTTTTATGCGAATTGAGTCATGCAGACAGAGGAAGCTATCAGTTCCCTACCTCTCTCCTCCTGCTTTCTGCCCCGGGTCTGGTGATGAGCGCCGTGTCACCGCACACCACGGCCGCGTCCTCCACGAACACGCAGTCCGGGAGCGACTCGTCCGCGGGGAGCACCACCACCTCCAGCCCGAGCCTCGTCCCCAGGACCTGGACGTACGCCTCGTGCTCGCTCCGCGCCCCGGCCAGGTCCACCTCCGCCTGGCTGCTCCGGAGCGCTTCTTTGGCCAGGGACGCGGGGACTCCCCGGACGACGGCGTGGGTGTAATGACCAAAACCTGCCATTAAACCAGCCATTTTACCAGCCATGTTTTTGCTTCCCCTCTTCTTGGCACGCTCAAATCTGGAAAAAAAGAGGCTTGAAAAACACCCTAACTGACAACCCGACGAATGAATGAGAGAAACTACTAGCAGTTAACCCGATGCAGCCCGGCTTTATTATTTGTTCCGTGCTAGTTTGTTGGGTTTTTATTCTTTGTTTACAGTAGCCTGCTGCACAGTGTCAATCAACCCTGCTCGAGTCTCCAGGCGAGCGACAGTGGTTCGGTGACGCGCACAGACCATCACGTGTAGCCTACGAGTCTGTCAGCCCTGAGAGAGGCAGCCCAACAAGTGACAGTCAGACACACCGAGCACATTTCACACTGCATCAGCAGAGCAGAGCCTGCATGTCAAACTCTTTAAGATCGTATTAGTTTCCCATACATTGAAACACATTATGCCTCAATTGTTCTGCCTCTACCAGCCTTGAAATGATACGTCGGTGTTTCATGACTTCGATCAGCAGAAATAACTTGCAACTATTCTGATTGATTCATAATTTGAGTAAATGTTCCTTAATGTTGATGGGTTGCTGCTGTTTCAGAGACAGGTTTATTACCAGGTAGGATGACACGTTCGAGGAATTTGACTTGATGTCATGGTGCAGAGCCTACATAAAAGTAAAAGAAACATTAAAAACACAGAGAACTATTTTAAGAAAACTATAATATCATTAAAAAAATAATAAAACTTGTAAAAAATATAACAGTATTTCAATGTTGGTCCTATGTGATAATAAACTCGACATTTTTAGATTTTGGATTGTTGATTTAAGAAATTGTGATCAGCATGGTGTTCAACACTAGATCCAGCAATCGAATAATCCAAATAAATAAATAATAATAATTTAGCTGCAGCCAAATAATCAATAGTAAATGGCAACTTTCACTATCCACAGTGTTGTCTGTATTTGGACCACTTTGATATACCTTCAGAACATTTTCCTGTCAAATAGTAAGAGTTATGGGCAGTGCGCTATCATATTTTTAATGTCATAGATATTTGATATCAATAAAACAATTGATAATTTGTTAAGAAATTTGAGAAGCATATCTATTTTTTAAGCAGCGTTCTGTCCCGTTATGTCTTCTAGTTATTTGCAAAAATTGACACAATTTGGAAAGTATTATGACATTTTAGGGGTAAAAAAAACTGAGAATTTGGTGACCTTTACTACAAACAACAAGGGTGTTATATTTGGATCTGCATACAGCTAAGGACATATATTAGAGTAAGAAATGAATACACACTTGATTCCCATGCTATTTTGTTACATACCATTATAAATAAAAGCTCATCTCTATTTTTGAACCTGAGAATTTGGAGACATATGTAAGTGATTCACTTTTGACAGACTTTATGAAATAATGTACACACACTTCACAGGCAAAGAAAATACAGAAAGAAGGATTTCTGCCTGTCCTGCAGAGGAAGCATAGAGCAAAAAGAGTGTGAAAGAAGATAATTGTAGGTGTATGTCTACAGGAGGAGGTATGGAGGGTGGAGAAAATGGTTTATATTCCCTACGGTGCCATCTTAGGAAGGTTTGAATGGATGGAATGTTTCTCCAGACGTCCCAGAAGCACATTCTTCCACCGCGGGATCTCAGTTTGTCTTTTCTTGTTCCAAATTCACTCAATTATCCCTGACTGCTCTAAACATTCCTGGAGCCCCACATTCCTTTTTCCACTCCAGCCAGGATCACCAACCACCAGCACCCTCCTCCCAACACTAACACCTGCCCCCACCCAGACTTCTCATTCTTTTTTTCCCATCATTCCTCATCACGGATGGACGTGGCCCAAGAAAAGACCCTCTCTTTCTCTCTTCTCTCTCCATGCTGAGGAATTTGGGTTACTTTAGATGAAGGAAAGCCCTCATACTTCAGGCACACCTGGCTGGTACATTGTGCAGCTATAAAATAAATGAGTGAAAGCAGACACGATCCTCCAGCTGCGGATGAAGCGGCACCAAAGCAGCACGTCTTATTTGCCTTGTATGATTGGACTTATGATGAGATCCTAGACGTCTAAAGTGACACAGTCGTGTGATTACACCAGGTGCTCAGGGCATATTTAACTCCAAGCAGTCAGGCAAATGTAACCTAATGAACACAGAGAATAATGTGATGAAATGACATGACATTATTAAAAAAAAAAGTTGAGGTTACTAGAAGGAAAGGATTGTATTTTGAGGTATTTCAATAACAGCTTCAATGTGGTCCGATACAAGTCAGAACATTTGAAATAAATGTCAATTCCATCAAGAGTATGTTTAGCTTGATTCAAGTATAACTTAACATGTTTACATGCACACAAATGAATGACAGAAACCTCTTAGAGGATCTTGGTACTATCAACAAAGTTATTCTGGGAAATAAATCACCAACAAAACAAAAAATATGTATTACTGGTTGATATAACATGTATGGCCTCTTCTCTCATGCGCCATTTCCATGAAGGCAAAGGCCTTGGAGCTTTGAACTTTCTTTCCCCACAGCTGTGTATTGGGATGACCCAGACAGTTGATTTGGCTCTCCCCAAATCAATGATAAAACAATCTCTTCTTCAAATTCTAACACAAAGCTGAAGCACAGCATCAGAGGACATCTGGGGGCTATCTTATCAGGTGGATAGCTCCCTGAAGCCAATCACTCCCTGCTAGGAACAGAGCTTGCTTTGACTTATCAAATGTTGATTATTCTCTATAGGAATAGTTAAATGTTGAGGAGTGAGCATTAGAAGGTCAGAAATGGTTGGGCAGGAGCTGTAAGACGAAACTGCACAAGAACAAAGACAGAGATTTACTTTTTTAAATATGCACACTGCAGCTTTAAGCATAAATTGGCCCAAAATAATCCTGGGGGAATACATGAAACAATAAATATGGCTGTATAAGATTTAGGAAATAGACCTCTTGAATAAATATATTTGTATTTAACTATGTCAAGATAACCACGACAAAATGGCAGAACAAATTGATCAAGTCTGGATTGTGCCTTTTTCCTTTTAAATCGTTGTTAAAAGTTCAAATTTAAATATATGATTTACACAGTTCTGCTTTTTCAGCTCTACTTTTCTGGAGAACTTGACGCGTTGGCCTCATCGTTGCCCTCTTTCACACGAGAGGGACCCATAACTCAGCAGACTTCCTGCTGCTCCATGAGCTGACACAGAAAGGAAGTGTTGCTAGTACACACTGCATACCAGTTATGACATTTATCTTCAATATAACACAATGGAATTCGTTGTTTAAACATTTCCTGCCGTTCTGTTCCATCTGTCACCTAGACATAAAAGGGAAGGCTGAGGGCCGCTCGCCACAAACTTCCTGAGAACCAATTCCAAGGGCCGCTCTCTCTTCAACTACAAGTCCTCCTGGTGGGCTTTGACAATGTGTTGCCATTAGATTGAGCCACAGCATAACAAACAGTAATCTTTCAAACTTTGTTGAACAGTGAAATAGCTTAAGCATCCTATCTGGGAGTTGTGGAGTTGCAGAAAACCACGCTAGAGAGCTTTGAGCATAATCCAATGATAATTTCTGTAAAGGAAAGAGACCCCCCTCCTCATTATTTTGGGAGTGTGTCCTGTGTGTGTGTGTCCTGTGTGTGTGTGAGTGTGTGTGTGTGTGTGTGTGTGTGTGTGTGTGTGTGTGTGTGTGTGTGTGTGTGTGTGTGTGTGTGTGTGTGTGTGTGTGTGTGTGTGTGTGTGTGTGTGTGTGTCTAACAGGGGTTAGCAGACTGCCTTAGTGGAAACTATTATGCCAGGGCAATTGCAACATGGAGACGCATGTCCAGCTTTTGGAATATTTCCTGACCTGAATGGGTAATTAAGGAATAAAGATTACGGCATGTTATTCTCAATTGACGTACAATGACAACACTGTTTCCTATTGCCGTAATACACGGGTGGATGCAGTGCTGCAGCCATATGCACACATGTACTCACATACAGTATGCACATACACACTGGAGACTTCAGGTCAACATAGCAGGGGAAAATTAACAAAACATGACATAGGACCTGCTGTCCAAACAGTATGGAGACATTAAAGGGGTATTCCATCAATTTAGTGTTTTCACTATGAGAGACAGTTAGGAAATAATTGACGGTCGGCATATCCTCACATTTAGTGCCTTATATAGGTCAGGCTCCAAAATGACTGGATGATACATATCCCATAATGCTTTGCATGTTTGTTAAACATTTGCTTCCTGGTAAATGCCTATGTGTTTCAACTTTTGTTATATATGTGAGGGTCCAAGGACAGTCGTATTCATATTCTGTACTGTAAAGTCCACTGAGAAAAATCTAAAATGTGGGATATTGGGCGATATAAATAAACTTTGATTGATTGACATTTCAAATGTATGGGCTTTACGTTTGAAATATTTATTTAGTCTAAAGACCCTAGCCAAGACAATGACATATCAGGTTTTTTATTTCCTACAAAATGTTATTTTAAATTCGTTTTCATAGATTGAGCACACTGTTCATGATGAGTACACTGGTGTTGATGTGTAAACTAATTAAGTGCCTTTTTAAACATCTTGAACCTGGCATGACTAATTACTATAATGCTGCTTGGAAATACACACAAGAGAGCATTGCACATGTGCTCATCATACAGACACACCCCCCATCTAAAAAGGGTGTGCACAGACAGGCACACCTCCATTTCCAATATTCACACTGACACATATGAATCTGTTCACAGTGTACAACATGAATATAATTTTAGATTTGTCCACATTTTGACATTTTTTTAAAGAGAAATATTCTTAAGATAAAACAATATAAATCACAACAAAAACCCAGCATGCCACCTAGAAAATAAAGTCTGGGATACTAAAAGATTCAACATTCTTCCGGGTGTATCTTTTACTTCGTCAGTAAAAAATAACTAGGCTATTCACTTTTGCTGAATAGGATCAGTTAGGAATGAAGTTCAGCTGCTAGACTCATATTCAAATAACGGGAGCACAGTGATGAGTCATTGTTTTATAGATAAAAGCCTATTCATAACTCGCAAGTCTCAGAATAAATCGTCAGAATAAACTGAAAAAGCAAAAGTCCAAACTCACCGGAGAAGCTCTCCAGCTGCCTTGTTAACCGCTGCTGTCTCAGTGTTCCGTCATGTTAAGACTACACGAGGTTACAAGGGAGAGCATTGAAATGTCCGATCCATATAAACACAAATGAACATTGTGAAAAATGTCCTCTGTTGAATCTGCCAGCCTCCCATGGTAATACTAATGGTTTTATGCTGCGTC